AGGCAGGAGCAAATCCCCACTGAACAGTTCGGGCTGCGCGTTGAGCGGCGCCCTCTGCTTGGCGTGGGGCCACCCTAAACCCCAAACCCTAAACCCCAAACCCTAAACCCCAAACCCTAAACCCCAAACCCTAAACCCTAAACCCTAAGCCCTAAACCCTAAACCCTAAACCCTCGATTTACCCCCCGTTGTTCACGTAGGGGTTAAACCTTCCATGTCTGCTGCTGCAGTCAGCTGCGGGCAGCGCCCTTTGCTGCGCTGCTGGGGTGTCTGTACAGCTCAGCATTTTGGGTCTTCGTTCCTGCAGGCCCAGCAGAAGCAGCGCAGCACACACAGCCACGCTGCTGCTGCTGCTGCTGCTGCTGCTGCTGCTGCTGCTGCTGCTGTTGCTGCTGCTGCAGTGAGGGCGGCGCTGCTGGAGCTGCTGCAGCTGCTGCAGCTGCTGCAGCAGCAGCGCGTTGCGCTGCGGTGCTGCAGCAGCAGCAGCAGCGCAGCAGCGACAAGCAGACAGCAGCAGCAGCGCGGGCCAGAGAGGCAGCAAAGAAGGCGCAGCAGCAGCAAATGGTATTTGTCTTTAATTAATAAAACAAAAAGGCGAAATTAAATTCAAAGAGAAGCCACGGGGAAGAGGGGGGAGTGGCGCACAGCGTGAGTTGCTGCTGAGGAAAGCCGAGGGTTTGGGGCGCAGCAGCTTCTGGAGCAGCAAATGGGAATTATTGATCGAAAACAAACATTAAATTAATAAAATAGAGTTTTAATTGTTTTAATTTGCAAAATAAATCCAAAAAATCCGCAACAAAGTCCCAAAACTGCTGCGGATCAGCAGCAGCCTCCGGCTGTCGGCGGCGCCGCATCTCGCGGCGAGCTGTCCATACACCTGAAATAGCTGCTGCAAATTCCTTTCCGAATTTCCAGTTTTGTTTTTTTCATTTTTAAAATCCATTTCAAATCCAGTTCCAAAAATGCCGCGTTTTCCGCGCTTCCCGCTGCTGCTGCATGCGCAGCAGCAGCAGCAACAGCAGCAGCAGCAGCAACAGCAGCAGCAGCAGCACGCGCAGCTTTGCTGCAGCAAACGGCGCCCGCCCTTCACTTCAAACTTCAAACAAAAAGTCCTAAAAGAAGTTCAAAGTTGAATAAAAAAGTAAAAAGATTTACTTTCCCAACTTCAGATCCTTCCAGATCTGGGGTGTACGTACACCGCAGCCGCGCGTGCTTTTTGGGGTGTACGTACACCGCAAAGAAGTTAATTAATTTGCAATTTAATTTTCAAGTCCGAATTGCTACACTGCACTACAAGTAAATAAATACAAATAAATGCAAACAAACAAATAAATAAATGCAAATAAATAAATAAATAAGTACAAATAAATGCAAATAAATAAATAAATGCAAATAAATAAATGAATAAATACAAATAAATGCAAATAAATAAATACAAACAAATTCAAATAAAATAAAATAAATGCAAATAGGCAAATAAATAAATAATTAAACGCAAATAAACAAATAAATAAAGACAAATAAATGCAAACAAACAAATAAATAAAACAAATGCAAATAAATGCAAATAAACAAATAAATATATAAATGCAAAATAACAATTCACACAAATATAAATAAATGCAAAATAACAATTCATACAAATATAAATAAATATAAGTATAAATATAAATATAAATATAAATGTAATTATAAATATAAATTATAAATATAAATACAAATATAAACAAAATAACAATTCATATATATATATATGAATACAAAATAACATTTCATATATATATATAAGCTGCTGCTGCAGCAGCTGCTTCTGAATTTGCTGCTGCTGCTCGAGCAGGCGTTTGCTGCTGTTCGTTTCTTTTGCTGCTGCTGCTGCCGCTGCTAAAAGTTGCTGCTGACTGCTTTAACTTGCTGCTGCTGCACTTGATTTGCTGCTGCTGCACTTGATTTGCTGCTGCTGCACTTGATTTGCAGCTGCTGCTGCTGCTGCTGCTGCTGCTGCTGCTAATTGTTTATAATTGATTAATTGTTCGAACAAACTCGAAGTGTTGCTGCTGTTCGTTTCTTTTGCTGCTGCTGCTGCCGCTGCTTAAAGTGGCTGATGTTGCACTTGATTTGCTGCTGCTGCACTTGATTTGCTGCTGCTGCTGCTGCTGCTGCTGCTTACAATAGACTAATTGTTGGAACAAACTCGAAGTGTTGAAGTGTTGCTGCTGCCTTTCTCTTGCTGCTGCTGCTGCAGCTGCTTAAAGTTGCTGCTTCTGCACTTGATTTGCTGCTGCTGCTGCTGCTGCTGCTGCTAACAATTGACTAGTTGTTGGAACAAACTCGAAGTGTTGAAGTGTTGCTGCTGCGTTTCTCTTGCTGCTGCTGCTGATTTGCTGCTGCTGCTGCTGCTGCTGCTGCTGCTGCTTATATTTCACTAATTGTTGGAACAAACTCGAAGTGTTGGAAAATAAAAGGAAGTGTCGCTGGGCAGCAACCGGGTGTACGTACACCCCGCGGCGCAGTCGCGCTGCCAAAAGAAGCAAAAAAGAAAAAAAGAAAAAAAGAAAAAAAGAAAAAGAAAAAAGAAAAAGAAAAAGAAAAAAGAAAAAGAAAAAAGAAAAAGAAAAGAGAAGTTCATTTGCTTCTCCAAAATCTAAAATCTAATTCCAGCAGCAACACTGCAGCACAGCAGCAAACAGGAAAAAAGCGGGCCCCCGGCCGCGCCTGCCACGCCAGCTGCTGCTGCTGCTGCTGCTGCTGCTGCTGCTGCTGCTGCTGCTGCTGGAGCTTGCTGCCGCCGCTACTCCGGCAAAAGCTGTTGCTGCTGCCGCTGCAGGTGCTGCTGCGGCTGTTGCTGCTGCTACTACTCTAGCAGCAGCTGCTCCTTCTGCTGCTGCTGCTCCAGCAGCTGCTGCTACTCCTGCTGCAGCTCCTGCTGCTGCTGCTGCGCAGCAGGCCCAGCTGCAGCGCAGCAGACTTAGCTGCTGCTTCCGCACCGCCACCACTACCACTTCCACCGCTACCAGCAGCAGCAGCAGCAGCTGCTGCTGCTGCAGCACAACCAGCTGCTGCAGCTGCACCTGCAGCATCGTCAGCTGCTGCTGCTGCACCACCCACCCGCTGCTGCTGCTGCTGCTGCTGCTGCTGCTGCTGCTAGAAGTGCGAAGCTCTGCTGCTGCTTGTCCCGCACCATCACGCCCGCCTTCTGGTAGTCCCCCACTCTCTTCTCGAAGAAGTTCGTTTTTCCTTGCAAAGAAATCAACTGCTGCTGCTGCTGCTGCTGCTGCTGCTGCTGCTGCTGCTGCTGCTGCT